CAGAAGCGGCAGTCGTCGCACCTTAGACAAAAGCCAAAGGTGGGTGCGGTCCGTGGTGCTTTCCCTGATGGAGGATCTGCGCCTTTCTCCGCCTCTATCCGTCTCTCCCTCTCTCCCTCTCCCCATCCCCATCCCCATCCCCCCCCTCCCTCTCCCTCTTTCTCTCCTCTCCTCTCCCTCACCCCCGCCTCCGCCTTCTTCTGCGCAGGTGCGGTCGCACCTGAACGAGCAGGCGCGCTCCATCAAGGAGCGGCAGAGGCGCGTGGTAGAGGCACAGCGCGAGTGGCGGGCGGACATGCACAAGATCGGCGAGCTGCCGCAGGGCGCACAGCGCGACGCGCTGCGGCGGCTGATGCGGCAGGTAGCCACTTCCGAGACCCTTCCACTTCCGCACCCTCGCCACGCGTGCTCCCCCAGGCCTGCCAGAGTCTGGCTGCTAGAGACTTGGCGAGGCAGCGTCGAGAGGCTCTGCAGCTGGCGCTGCTCCCCCTCAGCCCCTCACGCGCCCCGCCATACCCCACGCCATACCCCACGCCTGCCCTGCCCCGCCCTGCTCGGTGCAGGTGCGCGCCTCGCTGCAGCGGCAAGCCGAGCAGCTCAACGAGGAGACTGCGCACGTGCGGCAGCAGGCGGCGTGGGTGCGCGATGCGAGACTCGCCGCCAGGGAGGGGAGGGCGAGGGCCAGCCGAGGTCAGCCGAGGGTCGGTGCCGAGTAGGTGCGCGAGTGGGAGGCGTCGCTCGCGGAGCTGGACGGGTCGTACCGCCAGATGCTCGAGCTCTCGTGTGAAGAGACGCTGTTCACACCTGCAGCTGTGAACAGGTCGTACCGCCAGATGCTCGAGCTCTCGGAGGAGTCGGACGAGCAGTCGGCCGGCGGCAAGAGGAGTGCCCCCCGCCGGCGGCCCGCCTCTGCCGCGCTCGGGGGCGTCATGTCCGAGACATGTCCGTGACATGTCCGAGACATGTCCCTAGGCGGCCCGCCTCTGCCGGGCTCGGGGGCAAGTGGGGAGGCGGCGGCCGCCGGGAGGAGGAGCTGCACGAGGAGCTCGCCCGCATCGCCGCAGAGCTGACGAGCCTCGTCGCCGCGCCAAACGCCCCCTCTGTTTTCGGTGGGCCGTTTGCGCCGCCCGCGCCGCTGCCGGCCCACCTATCAAGCCAGCTCCTGTGCCGCCGCCTCTCGAGCCGCCGCCGCCGCCACCCGCGAGGCGTGTCCTCAGCGCGAGGGGCGCCGTCCGCTGTAGGCGCCAGCACCACGAGCAGCATTTTGTCGACTTTGGCAGAGAGGGCCTGAGGCTGCCGGCGGCGCAGCCGCGGGCAGCAGTCAACACCGCCGGCGCCGCCGCGTGGCTCGGCCAGCGCGAGCGCGTTCAGTCGCTCATGCAGTCGCACGCGCGCTGGCTGCGCAAGCTGCGCCACAGCATTGCCCACGCCGAGTAGCTCGCGCTTTCCCGTCCGGCGGAGCCAGAGCCGTAGAGACTGCCGTGTAGTAACGTAAGGTACCCGGTCTATGATTGTGTCGCAGCTTTTTTCACACCGTTCGAACCGCTCTTGCTTCTTAATTCTATGGCATACCGCTTACCGCTACCCGCACCGCCACGCGCCAGCGGCCAGCGCACTGATACACCGTGCACACCCACACGCCGGGCTGTGGAAATATACGGCTTTACCGGGGCGCTGACCTAGCTCTGTGCCAGAGCGCCGAGAAGCGAGAACTAGAGTCAAAACAATGAGATAGTCGGGAGCGAGACCTCGAGCTAGCCTCGCGAGGCTTGAGCCTATCGCTCTCGAGCGTCTCTGGGGCCTCTCGTACTCCGCGCATATCTCACACTTCACTCGTCCCGAGCCACCTGCTTGGGTCAACGGCTCTTGCTTCTTACGAGTGGCTTGCGCCATGCAGCGGTCAAGCGGGTGCAGAGGTGTCTCTCACTGCTGTCTCCTCGTCATCGCCGCCTCCCTTCGCCGCCTTCGCCGCCTTCGCGCCGCGTCTCCTTCGTCCCTCGCCAGCCCGGCCAGCGGAGAGCCCAGTCGTCGTCGTCGTCCTCGGCGTCCTCGCCTCTGCGCCATGACAACTGTGAATTCTCTAAGCATGAGCGCCGTAGTCGGCTGTAGCTTGTACTCCCAGCGACGAGCGAGACGCTCGTACAATGGGGAAGGCAGCAAAAAACATTGAGAATTGAACGCTACGGGATTCGCTACTGTCCATCTTGCTACAGAGACTCTCTACCCTCTCCTCACTTCCTTTCATTGCTCCTTCTTCACCGCAGCGAACTTTCGGGCGATCGAGGCCAGCGTGTCGTCGTCCACGAGCCCCTCGCGGTGCAGCACGCGCCGTAGGAACTCCGCCTCCCCAATCGGCTTTCCATCGTCATCGGTCGCCGTGTCGTCCGCGTCGCAGTGTTCCCTTATGCGCTTTCGCGTGCGGATCGCGAGCCACTCATTCACCCCATCCGCCAGCGCCACGACGGCCAGCGGGATCCAGACGATAGCGGCGAGCTTGGCGAGTGGCGTGGGAGGAGGGGCGATGTCGCCGTACCCAATCGTTGTCATCGTCACGACGGCATAGTACACGGCGTCGATGGCGCCGAGCCCGAGAAAGAGCAGGGCGTTGGCGACCCCCACGACAAAGATCAGCAACGGCCCGAGAGCGGCCCGCAGGTGGCGCCGACCGTAGCTGATCCGCCGATTCACCTCACGGAGTGAGAGCCGCGGGTCGGCTGTGTCAATGTTGAGAGCCACCGCTGGCACCAGCGCCGCGCGCAGACGCGTGAGGGCGGCCTCGACGGCCGGCTGCAGGGCGTTGAATATCACCGTGGTGCCGAGGAGCGCGGAGGCGCATGTGTACAGGCGGCCAGCGGGGCTGGCGGGTGCCATATCACCATACCCGACGGTGGTGGACGTGATCACCATGAAGTAGCAGGCGGAGAGCGGTGACCAGCCCTCGCACGCGCCGTAGACCGCAACGCCGGAGGCAAAGAAGAGGGCGACGAAGAGGAGGCTTTGGAGGTTCGCCATTCCCGGATGAGTTGATCTATCGCGCAGCGTCCTACCCCGTAACTCGTACGTCCGACGAAGCAATCTGCATGCGTGAAATTCTTTTCACAACCGCAATTCTTAGGGAGTCCATTATTACCTTGTGAAATTCTTTTTGGTGTTTTGGGAATTCTGTTTTGGATGTTGTTGTTGCGCCGCACGACGAGCTCTGCGTGCCGCCGCGAGACGCTCGCCGCATCGAGGGTCACTTCGCAGCTCGCGTCGCGCCCGATCCAGAACCGGTCCTCGGTCCGGCCGGGGTCGACAAACAGAGGGTGGCTCTGCTCTTCGCCGCCGTCGCGCATCTCAATGACCGCCCACTGCTCGGCGTCGCCGTCGTCCTCCTCGGACTCGTCGTCGATGACCTGCGTCGCATCGTTGTACTCCATCCCGCGGCCGGTGGACGCGCTGCCGCCACTCTCTACAGGGAAAAGAAAAGAAATCACGGCGCGAAAAAATGCTTCTGCGACAAAAAGAGAAATCGTGCGGCAACCAAGCCTCTAGCGAAGAAGGCCGAGGAGGAGAGGCTTCTCCGGCTTCTCGAGACGCTCACCGAGGAGAGGATGCGGCTCGGCATCACGCCGGAGAGCCAGGCAGCGGCTTCGGCCGAGGTGGCCGAGGCGGCTCGCTTGGATGCTGCGGCGGACGAGGCGGAGGAGGAGGCGGAGGAGGAGGAGGAGGCGGAGGCGGCGGCCGTGGCGGCGCTGGCTGTGGCCGAGGCTGCACGGGCGGAGTCCAGGGCGGCGGAGGAGGCGGCCAGGGCGGCGATGGACGAGGTCGTGGCGGCGCTGGAGGAGGCCAAGGTGGCGATGGAGAAGGCCACGGCGGCGCGTGAGGGGGGCGAGACGGCGTTTGAGGAGGCTGCGGCCGCTGCAGAGGCAAGGGGTGCTGCTGTGGCCACTGCGAGGGCCAGGGCGATTGCCGCCAGGATGGCAGCGGAGGCGGCCCAGCGCTCATAGCGCGAGCTGCTCAGAAGAGGCGCGTGGCCACCACCCTGCGGACTCTCTGGGTGGAGCTTGCTGTGTGTCAAGACAGAAAAGAATTTTTTCGGGCGAAAAGGAATTTCGATTCCCGGCGAAACCGGTTTAGCCCATGCCCGGCTTGGGGCTTCCCGTGCCAACGCCGCGCTCCGCACGCCGCCGCCGTCTGCTGACAGCGGGACGGGTGCTGAAGTCCCAAAGAACGTCCTCAAGGCGGCCAAGGACGGCCGCGTGGGACCAGTGCGATCGTGGCTGAATGACGGCGGGAAGGCCGACACCTTCTACAAAGCTGAGTCTCAGATCAGCGGCCGTACGATTCCATACACCCTGCTGATGCGCGCCGCACAGAACGGGCACGCGCAGATTGTCGAGCTCCTCCTGAAGCGCGATGCCGACATCAACCTGCAAACCAGTCGCGGCACCACTGCGCTCAGCGCTGCCGCCAACCACGGCCGCGAGGGAATGGTGGAGATGCTGCTGCAGCACGGAGCGGAGATGAGCCCGCAAGATTCGGCCTGGCCGGCGCTGGCAGCGGCTGCCCAGGGCGGCAAAGAGCGGGTCGTCGATCTGCTGCTGCGGCGTGGCGCGGAGATCGACCTGCAGAACACGAGACATGAACGGCGTGGCACCGCACTGATGCAGGCCGCAGTGCACAACCGCCCCGTCGTCCTGCTCCGCTTGCTGCGGGCGGGCGCAGACATGACGTTGCGCGACAAGGACGGCAAGACGGCACTGCAGTGGGCCAAGGAGGAGGGCCACGCCGAGTGCGTCCAGGCCTTCAAGACGTATCTCGGGGAGGTGGCGACGGCAGGCCGGAGCAAGGCGCCGTCGGCCGAGGCAGGCGGCGGAGACGCGGCGGGTGCGAGTGCCGCAGCCTCTGCTTCGAGCGGCGAGGGGGGCGCGGAGGCCGAGCCGAGCAGCGCGGAGGTGCCACTGGCGGTGCTGGCGTGCGGCGGTGCGGGCGTGCGGAGGTGCTGGCGGTGCGGCGGTGCGGTGCCAGAGGAGGTTGTGCAAGCAGCTGAGCGAGGCGGCGAGGAGGCGGTGCTGGCGTGGTTCGACGGCGGCGGGCAGGTCGACGCGACGTTCGAGTACGTCTTTTCGGACGGCCCTGAGAGCGGCATGACGCTGCTGATGCTCGCTATGACGCGTGGGCACGAGGGGCTGGCCGAGGCGTTGCTCCAGCGCGGTGCGGATCTCTCGTTGCAGACCAGCGTTGGCGGCACCGCGCTGATTCTCGCCGCCGCGAATGGCTTCGAGAAGCTGGTCGAGTTGGCGTTGCGGCACGGCGCGGCGATCGACCTTCAGGCCAACAATGGCGGCACAGCACTGAGCGTTGCCGCCGGCAAAGGCTACGAGAAAGCGGTCGACGCGCTGATCCGGCACGGCGCGGACATCGACGTCCAGTGCAACAACGGCGACACCGCACTGATTCGGGCCGCTTACCACGGCCTCCTCACCGTCGTGCGTCAGCTACTGCGGGCGGGCGCAGACGTGACGCTGTGCACTACGAGTGGCAAGACCGCGCTGCAGCTTGCCAAGAACGAGTGCGGGCGCGCAATCGAGGAGCATGCGGCGGCCGAGAAGGCGGCGGAGAAGGCGGCGGCGGAGGCGGCGTGGGCCGCGGGAGCGGCGGAGAGGGCGGCGCAGAGGGCGGCGGAGGAGAAGGAGGCGGCGCGGCACGCCGAGGAGCTGCTGGCGGAGGTCGAGGCGGAGAAGCGCGCCAAGGGCAAGAAGGGCAAGAAGAAGAAGAAGGGCGGCGGGGCGGGCGGGGCTGGGCCGTCGCAGGAGCCCGAGGAGGGTACCGAGGCGCCGTCAGAGGCAGACGCAGCTGAGGCGGCGAAGAAGGCCGAGGAGGAGAGGCTTCTCCGGCTTCTCGAGACGCTCACCGAGGAGAGGATGCGGCTCGGCATCACGCCGGAGAGCCAGGCAGCGGCTTCGGCCGAGGTGGCCGAGGCGGCTCGCTTGGATGCTGCGGCGGACGAGGCGGAGGAGGAGGCGGAGGAGGAGGAGGAGGCGGAGGCGGCGGCCGTGGCGGCGCTGGCTGTGGCCGAGGCTGCACGGGCGGAGTCCAGGGCGGCGGAGGAGGCGGCCAGGGCGGCGATGGACGAGGTCGTGGCGGCGCTGGAGGAGGCCAAGGTGGCGATGGAGAAGGCCACGGCGGCGCGTGAGGGGGGCGAGACGGCGTTTGAGGAGGCTGCGGCCGCTGCAGAGGCAAGGGGTGCTGCTGTGGCCACTGCGAGGGCCAGGGCGATTGCCGCCAGGATGGCAGCGGAGGCGGCCCAGCGCTCATAGCGCGAGCTGCTCAGAAGAGGCGCGTGGCCACCACCCTGCGGACTCTCTGGGTGGAGCTTGCTGTGTGTCAAGACAGAAAAGAATTTTACGGCGAAAAGAAATCGATCACGCGAACCGCTTAGCCATGCCCGCCTCGCGCTCCCGCGCCAACGCCGCGCTCCGCACGCCGCCGCCGTCTGCTGACAGCGCGCCGGGTGGCGAAGTCCCAAAGAACGTCCTGAAGGCGGCTGAGGACGGCCGCGTGGGACCAGTGCGATCGTGGCTGAATGACGGCGGGAAGGCCGACACTCTCGCTGAGCGACCCTCTGAGGTCGGCGGCAGTACGGTTCCATGCACCCTGCTGATGATTGCCGCACGCAAAGAGCACGTGCAGATTGTCGAGCTCCTCCTGAAGCGTGGCGCGGACATCAACCTGCAGAACAGTTGCGGCACCACTGCGCTCAACGCTGCCGCCTTCCGTGGCAACGAGCGAATGGTGGAGATGCTGCTGCAGCACGGAGCGGAGATGGGGACGGCGCTGGTATTTTCCGCCCAGGGTGGACAAGAGCGGGCGGTCGACCTGCTGCTGCGGCGTGGCGCGGAGATCGACCTGCAAGACATGAACGGTGACACCGCGTTGATTCTCGCCGCCTGCTTCAACCGCCCCGCCGTCATTCTCCGCCTTCTTCGGGCGGGCGCAGACATGACGTTGCGCGACGCGGCGGGCAAGACGGCGCTGCAGTGGGCCAAGGAGAGGGGCCACGCCGAGTGCGTCCAGGCCTTCAAGACGTATCTCGGCGAGGTGGCTGCGCGCCGGAGCAAGGCGCCGTCGGCCGAGGCAGGCGGCGGAGACGCGGCGGGTGCGAGTGCCGCAGCCTCTGCTTCGAGCGGCGAGGGAGGCAAGGAGGCCGAGCCGAGCAGCGGCGGTGTGGTGCCAGAGGAGGTTGTGGACGCGGCTGACGACGGCGACGAGGAGGCGGTGCTGGCGTGGCTCGACGGCGGCGGGCGGGTCGACGCGGCGTTCGTGGACGTCTTTTCGGACGGCCCTCTGAGCGGCGTGACGCTGCTGATGCTCGCAATGGCCAAGGGCCACGAGGGGCTGGCCGAGGCGCTGCTCCAGCGCGGTGCGGATGTCTCGTTGCAGAACAGCAAAGGCACCACCGCGCTGAGTATGGCCGCCATGAATGGCTTCGAGAAGCTGGTCGAGTTGGCGTTGCGGCACGGCGCGGAGATCAACGAGCGAAACGGCAGAGACTGCAGCACCGCGCTGATGAGCGCCGCCACCAACGGTCACGAGAAAGTGGTCGACTCACTGATCCGGCACGGCGCGGCGATCGACCATCAGTGCCACAACGGCGACACCGCACTGATTCTCGCCGCTTTCTTTGGCCACCCGCCGCCCTGCTCTGCCTGCTGCGGGCGGGCGCAGATGTGACGCTGTGCAGTGCAGATGGCACGACCGCGCTGCTGTGGGCCAAGGAGAAGGGCCACGCCGAGTGCGTGTGCGCCCTCGAGGAGCATGCAGCGGCCGAGAAGGCCGCGGAGAAGGCGGCGGAGGCGGCGGCGTGGGCCGCAGGAGCGGCGGAGAGGGCGGCGCAGAGGGCGGCGGAGGAGAAGGAGGCGGCGCGGCACGCCGAGGAGCTGCTGGCGGAGGTCGAGGCGGAGAAGAAGCGCGGCAAGGGCAAGAAGGGCAAGAAGAAGAAGAAGGGCGGCGGGGCGGGCGGGGCGGGGCCGTCGCAGGAGCCCGAGGAGGGTGCCGAGGTGCCGTTGGAGGCAGACGCAGCCGAGGCTGCGAAGAAGGCCGAGGAGGCGAGGATCCTCCTGCTTCTCGAGACGCTCACCGAGGAGAGGATGCGGCTCGGCATCACGCCGGAGAGCCAGGCGGCGGCGTCGGCCGAGGTGGCCGAGGCGGCTCGCTTGGACGCTGCGGCGGACGCGGCGGAGGAGGAGGCGGAGGAGGAGGCGGAGGCGGAGGCGGCGGCTGAGGCGGCGGAGGCGGATGCCGAAGCTGCACAGGCGGAGGCCAGGGCGGCGCAGGCGGAGGTCAGGGCGGCGCTGGAGGAGGCCACCACAGCGCTGGCGAGGAAGGAGACGGCGCTCGAGGAGGCGAGGGCCGCGACAGAGGCGAGGCGTGCTGCTGCAGCCGCTGCGATGGCCAGGGCGACTGCCGCCAGGATGGCAGCGGAGGCGGCCCAGCGCTCATAGCGCGAGCTGCTCAGAAGAGGCGCGTGGCCACCACCCTGCGGACTCTCTCTCTGGGTGGAGCTTGGGAGCTTCCGTCGAGGACGCGCTCGCCGTGCACTGAGATGTGTGCTTGGGTGTTGTCGCTGTTCATTGGAGCCGGGGAGGTCAGAGGGGGGGGGGGGGGGGCTTGTGGGGCGAACTCCGCGCGCGGACTGCGGTGCTCGCCGCGCGAGGAGAGACACTGTGAACCGCGCCGCCGCCCGCTTGCCACCGTGCGCGGCCGCGGGCGGGGCGGACAGTTTTTTCTTTTTGTGTAAAATTAATTTTACACAGATCCACCTCTCAAGTGAAAAGGAAAAATGGAGCCCCAAAAACCGAGAGGATGCACTCACCCTCTCTCCTAACCCCTCCGCCCCGGAGGGACACGCCGAGTCCGAGGCACGCGCTATAATTATTGAACACTATATGCATGTACGAAGTTGGTACTGAGGCATCTCTCACTGTAGGGGGCGCAGCTGTGGTCGACCGCGGCGCGCGCCAGTGGCGCGCCGCTCAGAAGGAGTCCTTGTGGAGCACAAAGCGCCGGGTGGTGTCCGACTTGTTCATCTTGCTGGTCATCGCCGCCAGCTGCTTCCCGATGGCGTTTGGCCCGCAGAGGAGAGGAAGACGCCGACGTCGCTGGTCGGGAAGCTGTCGCCGATGCTTTGGCCGATGCGGTTCCAGTTTGGCCGGCCCGCATACTGGTTGTACTTCTCGTCCGCCGAGACAGACTTGAGGTTGACCTCGCCCGTAATGTACCTATCGGCGCCAAGGAAGCGTCTCAGCCGCACGTGGCAACGCGCGTCTCGCAACATCTCTAGCTGTGATGTGCACGTATTCAGCTCAAAGATGCCCGCGAGGCTCGTGTCCTCGAGGATGTCGACGAGCACGTCTTTGAAGGAGAGGAACTCGCGATCGTCGCGGCAGATCCAGTAGAAGACGACCTGCAGCGGGCACGTGGAAGAGTAGGGTGGAGAGCCTGCGCGCGCGATCGCGTGTGTGTGACCGGGCCATTGGGGGCGAGGGAGCGCCACCTTTTTGAGCGGCGACTCGAGGCGATCCTCCCGGGCCTGCTTGGCCAGCGTCTTGAGGATGCTGGCGAAGGGGGTGACGCCGATCCCGGCCGCCACGAGCACCATCACCTCGAAGTGAAATACCTCCTCGCTCGCGCTGCCGTACGGGCCGTCCACAAAGAGCGTGTGCGGGATCGAGATGGCGCGGCTCTTGCCCGGGTCGTCGTTGGCGAACTGGCTGGTCGCCGACACCAGCGTCCCCGGCCGGGAGAACGTCTTTGCTCGCCCGCCCTCCTCCGGGAGCAGCATCTGCCGCAGCGCGTAGGTCCAGTCCATGTCGGACCGGCACCGGGAGCGGCCGCACATTGCTCGGTACCCCCCCTGCACAACTAAGCTCATCCCTGCTGCTAGGGGGGGGGGTCTGACCCCCCCAGCAGCAGAGCGCACTGGACCCAGCTCTCCCGCCTCTTCGCCGCCGCCCCCCCCTCCACCCTCGGCTCGTGTTTGAGCGGTACGCTCGAAGCGGTTGTGTTCACCGCGCCTTCGAGCCCAATACACCTTCGTCGTGTCGAGTGCTGGCGTTTTACTAAACACTGTGGCCATGTGAGTCTATCTTGTAATACCACACGCGCCTATACATCAGTGTAGTCTCATCATCGAGTGATTGCTGGCCTGTGGCGTATGACCTCGCGTGGATATCACCAACGACGAGCATGCGAAGATAGGGAACAATATCTTGTACAGCCCGCTGAGCCACGGCGTATGATGGGCTGCGAGAGCCGTCTCTTCCACCCTTGAAGCAGAGGCGCCGCGAGGCACGAGAGGCGTAGAAGAGAGGCTGGCGTGCCCCGCACCTCCCGGTTGGCAGTAGGAGGGCCCGCCGGTGAGACCACTGATTTTGAGGCCGACCATAAATTCTCGCCACTGGAACGCATGCTACTTACAGCTGCTGTCTGTACAGAGATGCCAGCACCCCCCACAGGCAGAGCGCTCCTGCTGGGGGGGGGGTCCGGACCCCCCAGCAGCAGAGCGCTGCTGCTGGGGGGGGGTCCCGACCCCCCCAGCAGCAGAGCGCTGCTGCTGGGGGGGGGGGGTCGGCCATGGGCTTAGTTGTGCAGGGGGGGGAGCGAGCAGTGTGCGGCCGCTCCGGATGTGGAGGGAGAAGGTCCGCTCCTCCGGAGAGGAGGAGAGCGTGAATGGGTGCCACTCCGCGGAGATGCCCGGCGCCTGCAGGAAGATGTACTGGCCCGCCTGGAACTTGAAGCGGCGCCCGCTCGCGAGGCGCATCGTCAGGTGCAGCACGTCCTTGGTCGGCGAGACCGCGCGCAGCAGCTCGACCGGCTCCTTGCCGCGCAGGCGGCCGATGAGCTTGTCGACGAGGATCAGTCCCATCGGGAAGAGCGAGTACGCCCAGAAGGCCTTGCTGTGGGTCCAGAGGAGCACGAGCACGGGCACCCAGAGCTTGTGCACCTTGACAAAGATGGAGTGTCCGCCCCACTCCTTCCCCCACTTGCGGCGACGGAAGCGCTCGAGGCCGGTAAACATCATGGCGATCATGCAGAGCGCGATGAGGTGGCCGCTGATGCCGGTCCACGTGCCGACCGCCTCTGTGTGTGGCAAAGAAAAGAAAGCACTGAAGGGAACCAACCAACAGCTCCGGTGGATCCTGACCTATCGTGTATCGAAAGGTCACAACACACCAATCTCTATCTACCACGCTCTCTCCTCTCTTCTCTCTCAAAACGAGAACACGTTCCTCCTCGAAAGACTAGTAACTATACATGTATAGGCCAGCGCGACTCTCTAGAGGTAGAGTCGCATCGCGCAGGCGGAGAGCAGAGAGAGAGAGAGGGCAGCCAGGGACATCAAGAGCAGCATGCTCCACAGCCGCGACACAGCCTTTGACGTTCGCGGGCGAACTGGCGAATTGGTTCATGAACTGGTTCGGTGAACTCGCGGTTCGTTCGGTTTCGGAGTTCGCTCTGGACGCATCCCCTTGGTTCGCTGCATGGTTCGGTCGTTCGCCCAGGCCGCCGCGAGGTCTTCAGGTGCAATTGCTGCTTCGGCAATGGCGAGCTCAATCTTCAGCTCGGCGCTGGGCCTGCTGCCCGTGCAGACGAACACGCTGCCTGTGAACGCTCCGCCTTCAGCCTTCGTGCGCTATGCAGCAGTCAGTCATCCGACCGGATCCTACACCACCGCAGCTGCGGCCAACGTATTTCCTGCAGAGGTGTCGACGTCGCACCTCCCGATCCAGCTCAGCGGCGAGCTGATTGCTGGGCTCATCCCCGGCGGCAAAGAGTTTACGGGTTACAAGGTTCGCGACTATGGCCAGCTGCAGAACGAGGTGGCCAAGGATCCCGAGCAGCAGGCCAAGATGCGGGCGCAGACGGACGCTGCGGCGCCGGCGCTCAAGACGGCAGACGGAAAATCGCTCGACCTGGGATCGCTTCTGGAGGAAGCCGCCAGCAGACGGGAAGAGGGGAAGGTGGAGACGGGAAGCGGCGAGGCGGCGCGCGTCGCGGCTCTGCGAGCCGAGCGCGAGGCCGCCGAGCGAGCAGCCGATGAGAAATTCCGGCAGGAGCAGCAGCTGCGCAAGGCGTCGCCTCCCGAGAAGCAGACGCCGATGAGCCAGAAGGCGCCGGCAGCCGCCCCCGCCACGCCGGCGGCGCCCTCGTTCAGCATGCCCAGCACGGACTTCAAGGTGCCCGATTTCAAGGTCCCTGCGATGCCGAGCACGGACTTTAAAGTGCCGGACTTCAAGGTGCCGGACCTGAAGGTCCCTGCGATGCCCAGCACGGACTTCAAGGTGCCGGACCTGAAGGTCCCTGCGATGCCCAGCACGGACTTCAAGGTGCCCTCCTTTTCGATGCCCGCCATGCCCGACCTCAAGCTGCCCGACGCGCCAGAGATGAAGCCGCCGCCAGCGGCCGACAAGGCGGCCGACGACGCGGCGGCCAAGGCGGCCGCCGTCAAAGCAAAGGCGAAGGAGGCGGAGGAGGCAAAGGCGGTGAAGGACGCGGCTGCGCAGCGGGCGGCGGCGGACAAGGCGGCGGCCGCCGAGGGCGACGTCTCGCCTCCCCCATCTCCTCACCTCGGCCTTCCCTCGCGCCCCGCCCCGCAGGCAAAGGCGGCAGAGGAGGCCAAGGCTGCGGCGGCGAAGCAGCGGGCGGCGCGCGAGGAGGAGCTGCGGGCGGCGGCTGCGGCGAGCGGCGACGGCGCGTCGGAGGAGGTGCAGCGCATTCTCGCGTCCGCAAAGGCCGAGTCGGAGCAGGTTGTCGCCGACGCCTCCGCCGCCGGCCGGCAGCTCACCTCGGCGGCCAAGGCCGAGGCGGGCGCGCTGACCTCGGAGGCGGCCAGCAAGGTGGCGCCCCCTCCCCACGAGCTTCGGCCGAGGAGACTCGTCGGGACGGGCGTGCTCAGCCCGTCCCCGGTGCGCACCGCGGCCGCAGGCGTCTGCGATCCGGTCGCAGGCCGAGGGCGTCGCGTCTGCCGCGCGGCGCGAGGCGAGCGGTGCAAAGTCGGAGCTGAGCAGCTTGCGGTCGGAGATCGCGTCGCTCGAGCAGCGCGGCGCCGCGACGCAGGCGCCGTTTGCCGCGCCACCCCGCCCCTCCTCTGCGCCCCCGCTCTTCCCACGGCAGACGCCGCGCGTCCGCCGATCCGCCCGCCGAGATCGCAGCCGGTGTTGTGCTCGTGCGTCCGACAAGATCTCACCCCCCACCCCACACCTCGCCCCTCCCCCCCACCCCACACCGCGCCTCCAGGCCGAGTACGACAAGACATTCTTCCTCAACTTTGGCACGCGAGGCGAGCTGAAGGACGAGGTGCCCTGCGCCAGGGCGAGATCCAAGGATGTGCCCTGGACAGGTCCAAGACAGGTCCGCCGCGTGCCCCCGTAGGTCAAGCGCCTCAAGGACGACGCGGCGAGGGCCACCAAGAAGGCGGACAAGGCGGCAAAGGCAGTCGACAAGGCGCGCCGCACCGCTCCCCCCCCCCCCCCGCGCCGGTCAACCCACCGCCGCCCTCGCCGCCATCTCGCCGCCGACATACCAGCCTCTCGCCGCCCCTCTCGCCGCCCTCACCCACCCACTCCTTCCGCTGAACGCCTCCGTCCTGGCGGCACAGACTGCGGGCGATCTAGAGAAGGCCGAGGCGAGCGCCGCAAAGGCGGGCGAGCAGGCAGCCAAGATCGAGGCGGACGCGGCGGCCAAGGCGGCCAAGGTGACGGCCGAGGCGGAAAAGCAGGCGGCGGCGCTCAGCAAAAAGGCGGAGGGCGAGGCGGCCAAGGTGCTCAAGTCGGCCGAGTCCAAGGCCAAGGCAGCAGCGAAGGCGGCATCGAGCAGCGGCTCGGTGCGACCTCTCCCCTACCGCCGTTCGCGCATCGCTCTCTCGCGCATCACCCCCCTGCTTCGCTGCTCCGTTTGACCTGGCCCGCCCCCCGACACTACCTCAGGTGCTCCCTGGAGCGGCGGTGGGTGGCGCGTCAAAGATAGTAAAGCCCTGACCGGCTCCGTCGTCCTCGAACTGGGGAGGAGCTGTGCTGTGCTGCCTGATGGAGGCTATTCGTGGGTACAGTGGGCCATCGCCGCGGCCGAGCGGAGCTCTTGGGCCGCTTCTTGCGCCATGTCTCTGAGCGAGCCGGAGGGAGGCGGGGGTGTTCGCATGAACGCGCAGAGGATGTGCAGCGCGCATTGGGGTTGAGATGTGGCGACTTTCGTAGAGCCGTGTATTGTGCGCACCCGGCAGAGAGTGGCGCTCATTTGACTTTTGAGTGGTGTCAGTGTCGATCATCCATGGCATGACGAGTTACAAAACCCAACCCCTGAAACGTCTCAAAGACTTGTCAACCACAGAGAACTCCTCCCCTCCCCCCGCATGACCGACGACTACCCGTCCTTCGGCGACTCCTCCCCCTTCGGCGCCAACGTCTACTACCGGGGGCCCGTCGCCCTCGCCGCGCCTCGGGCGCGTACTGGCTTGATCCCAGCGGCACACGTCTACGAGGGGGGGCTCCGAAAGGTCGGCATGCCTGGCATGTCGGGCGACTAGGCAGGTCATTGACCTCCCCCCCGCTTGTCCACCCGGCGTGAGGGGCGGGAGCGCAGCCATTCCAACGGCTGGGAAAGTTTTTGAACGGCCGTGCATGCGCCTGCATGCCGGCTTACTAAGAAGGTCCCTCGCTCCCGCCCCTCTCCCGGAAGACGCGCGCCGGCCTGGGGGACTCGCTTGCGATCCCGTTCCAGTCAGAGGCCGCGTGAGGCGTGTGGGACGGTGCACGCTGGGGCTCTCGACTGGGGCTCGGCCCCAAGTGCGCTGGCCTCGCGTCTCGGAGGGGGGGCTCCGAAAGGTCGGCATGCCTGGCATGTCGGCTTACTAGGCAGGTCATTGGCCTCCCCCCCGCCAAACTCGGCCATTCCAACGGCCAGGCCGCTCGCTTAAGGCTGATTGGCTAGACGAGCGGCCTACCTCCATGGGGCTGTTGGCACGGGGGGAGGGTGTCAATCACGGCTCCCGGGACGCCGGAGAGATCGGGTTGGTCTCCCCCGCCTTCAGCCCTGACCCGACGGGGACGCCACCACCCTCGCCCAGGGATCTACAACGCTGTCTTAAGGTCCGACAGGTTCGGCACCGGGCACCGCCTCGGTATACAAAATAAATGCGCCTGTGCGGGCGGACCCTCCCTCACAGATCACAGATCACCAGAGAACCAGCAACCACGCTTGTGTAGACGGTGGAGCGGTGCACAGTGGCACATGACCACAAGAGACGCAGAGACTCGGCGGCGCGCATATCGCCCTTCTGCCAAACTCCTTCTAGCCTTTCGTTGTCGGAGATGGAGGTGATAAAACTCCGAGTAAAAGGCATTACTCCTACAGATGCTGCCGCCATGACATAATCGCCATCATCCTCATGCCCAGCTTGCGCGTAGGGAGGAGGAGGCTGCGCTGCTCAAGCACGGGCGGGAGGGGTTTCTCCTGCGGAGTCGTGCGTGCGCAGGGCTCCTCTTTGCTTTCTTCTACTCCCTACTATCATCTCGTTCCCGTCCTACCAGAGAAGGTTACTTCCCCCAGGATTATTGGTCTTCTCTGCCTGCGGGAACACCCTCGGGCGGCCGGGTGGGGCTGCGGCTGGAGCTAGCATGGCTCGATAGAGCCGAGACCCCGTGTTGAGGCGGCGCTCCTGTGGGCGGCTGTGGAATCGGCAGATTCGACCTCAGATCTCCAGTATTCTCATCCCAGTGGATGGACGTCCGGACGTCCCTTTGTGTTCCTCTCCCCGTCCGCCAGCGAGACGCTCAGTCGCTGGCGGCCGCAGTTTTCTGTGAGCAGGGCCGTGCTCGCGTTGCTTGTTCTCGAGGCACACCGCGTACGGGGACGCACGCGCCCAGCTCTCTCCCCCACGCCGACTCCAGTGCATTTGGTGCGCGTCACCGTCAGCGAGAACCAGAGCGACACGCTCGCCGTCAGTCTACAGTGCAGCCGGGGCTTTGTCAACCACACGATAGTCATCACGAGCCCGATGGACAGAGAAACGCAGCGCGTTTGCTCCCAGTCTCGCCTGACGCGGTGCCATGTCACGGAGGCTCTGCACCTGAATGGTGACCCGTTCAACAAGGGTCGGGCACTCCAGGAGGTGAGCGGTCGTGACGCTCGGAACTGTCATCAAGGCCCACAATCGCAATAATCCCCTGTTTCTGTCCACGCAAGGTACAGCGCAGGTTGCATGCCGACCTAAAGGTCATCGGAGGGCATGTGCTGCTGCTGGACGCAGACATCTGTGTCCCGGCAAAGGTGTGCTGCTTACTGCACACCCGCATTTAGGGCACCGGGCGTCAGCACCTTTTGCTCACGCCCCATTCCAAAGGTGTGGTCAACCATCTACCACCACCTCCCCACGTCTGACCGCGAGCTGCTGGGAATCGTCAACCGTTGCGTGTACCGCACGCCGGCGGACGCGATCGCAGGGAAGTACCACGCCGACACGCAGACCGGCAGTGGGGTGAGGCCTCTAGTCGCGAGATTGTCCGACTCGCCATGACACATCCCAGACCACACCACCAGGCGCCGTCCCTCGTAGCTTGTGACCAATCTTGGCTTTTTCCAGCTCTACATGGCCAATCGAACGAGCCCCGTCTACCCGTCCAACTACCGGACCGCGGGAGCGAGCGACAAGATATTTGGCGGCCAGTTCCGCCGGGAAAACCGACACCGCCTGGTCACTTACGTCCACCACCTCGGCGACACGGGCAGGTGGCGGGGCAACCACAAAAAGGCTGACTGGCTGACAGCCCCTTTGAATGAGTCCTGCCCGGGGAGGGGAGAGATGGGGGCTGGCGGCGGCGATGGCGACTGGCGCCGCGCCACCGCCGCCCTGGCGCGTCTCGGCGTGACCGGCCCGGCAGCCGCCACCATCTCGAGGTGGGCAGAGACGGACCCGCAGCTCTTCACGAAGCTGATGGCCGGCCCGGCGAGTTATTATGCGGGAGAGGATGCGCGGAGGGACACGCACTTCGTACGCTCATGATGAACGGTGGTGTTGTTGTTGGTTGTTGGGGTAAGAGGTAACAGGGAGAGGGGTTTCGCCGAGGTAGGTAGGTAGGTAGAAAGGTGAAGAACTGCCATGCTCGCCGAGAAATCAAGAAAAAAGAAAGGGTGGACGGATTCGGCGGCGGACGGGTTCCATCAGGGCGGCTTCTTGTACCTGGCCGTGACGCAGCTGCGAGTAGAGCTTAAGCAGCATGTTAATACCGGCGTGCGCCGCGCGCTCGGAGGGCTGCTCGCTACACCTCGATTCTATCGATGACGACATGCTGCAGCTCGTGCTCTCCTTCGTGGACGAGCCGAGCGACTGGGCTCACGCCGCCGCAGCGTCCCGGTCGATGCGAGAGGCGATCCCGCACAAACTGAGCACTCTTTCCACAAGCCGCAACCCTCAGCGTCTACCGACGCGTGCCTAGGCGGCCAGCCTGTCCAACTGGCAGCGTCGCCTCCGGCTGCACTTTGGCGTCGACGTCGACCCATCGGGGCTTGGCCTGCGGCCCGGCGACCACCCGCCGTTTAGCGAGTTCCGCGGGCTGTGGCGCGCCTACTACGACGGCGGGTGGACGCCGCTCCGCGTGGACCACCGGCTGCTGCGCCACCTCACCTGGCACGCGCTCAAACAGCAGCACGAGTTCGGCAAAGCGCCCGTCGCCCACAGGGTCGAGGTGTCGGACGGCGCGGCCGACTCGGACGACAGCGAGGGGGAGGAGGCGTGGCCGGCCGAGGCGCGGCGCGGTCTCCGCTCGGCGTGGCTGCTACAGGCGCGAGGGAGGGCGTCACGCCGGGACGTCCCGAGAGGAGGGTGTTGCCCGCGGGAGAGATGCCCTGGTGGGGCAGGAAGTCACCCACTGGAGAGGCGACTGCTGTTGCCGGTCCAATCCCTGCCCGGCCGCCGCTGCCTCAGGCGGCGGCGTGCGCGCTGGACCCGCTCTGGCTGACGCAGAACGCGCCGGGCTCGAAGGCTGCCGCCGCAGTCTGCACGGGCGCAGTGTTGCTCGACTGCCAGGCCCCCTACCCCACAGTACCCGAACCCACCCTCCCCTACCCCACAGTACCCGAACCCACCCTCCCCTACCCCACAGTACCCGAACCCACCCTCCCCTACCCCACAGTACCCGAACCTAACCTCCCGTACGCCACAGTCCCTTACCCCACGGTACCCGAACCCACCCTCCCGTACCCCACACAGTACCCGAACCTAACCTCCCTTACCCCACGGTACCCGAATCCACCCTTCCGTACCCCACAGTACCCGAACCCTTGCTCGACTGCCAGGCCCTGTCTCTGCCCCCTCCCACACACACTTGCTGCAACCTCCTGCACACCCTTCCCGCGCACCCTCCTGCAACCCCCACACACGCCCCACACGCCCCCCACACGCCTCCACACGCCCCCCACACGCCCCCACACGCCCCCAATCCCTCACACGGCCGCC